CTGGTGGTGGTTATCAATATTTTAGCGGCATGACTTAATGGGGAACACAGCACCCCGTGGGCTTAGTGACCCACCCCCCTTTTGAATGGCTGCCAGTTTCTCAAGACCCCTGGGCTACCTTTGGAGACTTTCAGGACAGGTAAAAAAGTGAAAAAGTGCAGGGGAGGAGGAGGGAGAGGGATCAGAGGGAGGGAGGGAGGAGCACAGGGGACTGAGGTGAAGGTGCACGGGTGCATTGGTGAAGGAAATTCTATGGGGACTACACCTGAGGGGGTGGGGGGAAGCAAATATTGTTTAAAAATGAACAATGATGTTAAAAAAAATTCTTAAAAAAATAAAAAGGAAAAAATTCTTGTCCAATGAGGAAAAAAAAAGTGAAAAAGGCCTGTGTGCTCTATGCTGGTTCCTGTGTTTTCTGACTTCTACAGGCATGGAGAACAGGGCCTTCTGCATTTGCAGAGACACTAAAGCAGGCTCCTCTGAGGGTCTGAGGTGTGGATGTTGGTGGGAAGGACTACACTGGCATGGTACCACTCTGCAAGCACCCACCATCTATGGAGGGTACATCATCCCACTACCACCCAGTCTCGAAGAGACAGAAAGGCAAGGGTAGGTGAGCACCAAGGAGGGCAGCTGGTGAACAGGCAGCTCCAGATCTGGAATATACTGCTGCTCCCCTGAGTCACAGGGTGAGGACACACAGTATACTCTGTTCCCACCCTGAAGTCCCCATACTGAGAAGACCCATCTACAGCCGCTGCCACTCAGGCCTATGAACAGGGAAGAATGACCACTAAGAGGTCTTAGCTGTTTTTTTTTTCAGACTCTTAAACAGAAAGTAGAAATAAAGTTGACATAAATAAAGGCGATAAAAACAAACCATTTCTAAAAGTTGTGTCCTTTAAAAAATGTCCAGAGCCAGGAACTGAGCAGCATAGTTTGGGAGTAGTCCCCCATGCAGGTTGAGGTGACCATGTCTGCCATGCCCAGTGGCCAGTCTGCTTCAGCAAGTGGAGAATTTCAAAACCTGTATATCTTTGGCTACCTGAGGGCTAACACCTGTTCTCTGGTGCTAGCTCTATGACCTTATAGCTGGTGTGAAACTAAATGAGTGAAACTAAATCATAAGTTAATGCATAGGAGAAAGACGCTTCAACCTTAATTCACTTATTTGATGTGAATTTGCTGAACCTTTTTCTGTGTAGACAGCTGTCCATGGATGCTACATGCCTGCTACAGAGGGTGTCAGGGAAGCCATATTTGGGCAATGATATATAGACAACAAAAAATGAATTTGGTGTTTTATACCTTTTCTACCAAAATATTAAGTACCTGCTCCTGAAAAATCATGAAAAAATAGAAAATCTGAACAGACTGGTTACTAGTAAGGAGTTATCAAAAATCTCTCAACAATCAAAAGTCCAGAGCCTGATGATTTTACTGGTGAATTCTACCAAACAGTCAAAGTTTGACTTCAAAATATAGAAGAGGAAGGAACACTTCCAAACTTATTTTTATGAGGCAGCATTACCTTGATACCAAAGGCAAAGAGACTACAAGGAAAGAAAACTATAGGCCATTATCCCTGATGAACATAAATACAGAAACCCTAAACAAAATATTAGTAAACTGAATTCAACAACATACTGAAAGGATCCTACACTAAAATCAAATGGGATTTATTCCAAGGGTGCAAGACTGGCTTAATGTCTGCAAATAAATCAGTGTGACAGACTACATTAACAAAATGAAGCATAAGAAGCATTTCACAACTTTAAACATCCATTAATAATAAAAACTATCAACAAAGTGAGTATAAAGGGACCATCATACATTCCACATAAGACACTCCCACAGCTACCATTATACTCAATGGTGGAAGATCGGAAAGTAGAAATAAGATCAAGAACAGGCACAAGACAAGGGAGTTCACTTTCACCATTTCTATTCAAGATAGCACTGGAAGTGGAAGCCAGAGCAGTAAGGCAAGAAAAAATATGAAAATCATCCAAATCAGAAAGGAAGAAGTAAAACTGTCTCTATTTATTTATTTATATTTTACATCATTGTTCATTTTTGTACAATGCATGCTTTCAGGTGTAGTCCTGGTAAAATTCCCACAACCAGTTTACTCGGGCACCATAACTGTAGTCCCTTGCGCTCTTCACGCCCCTGTTTTGATCCCTCTCCCTCCCCCTCCCCTGCAGAATGTCTCTGATTTATAGTTGCCTATTAATTTTGTTTATGTATTTATTTATAAAGATTTATTTATTTATGCATACAAGAACTGGGGTGTAGGCCAGAGGTATGCCAGAGGATTCACCAGAGACAGAGAGGGGAGCAGAACAGGTGGATCTACTACACTGCTGATCTACTAATACACAGTGAGGGGAGCAGTGGGTGATAGAGGAGAGGTCTGCTGTGTCATGTGGGTCAGCTCCCTGGTCAGGGATTAAACTCATGCCAGTGGCTGGCGATGGCTTGATAGTGCTGAGACTTTAACCCCTGCACCAGAGAGGTCCTTTTATTTATTTATTTATTTATTTATTATTTCCTGATTCCTTATTTGCTTCTCTGTCTTCCTCCTACAAGTGAAACAATCTGATATTTTTCTTTTTCCTTCTGGCTTATTTTACTGAGCATAATCCCTTCCAGCTCCATCCATGTTACTGAGAATGGCATGAGTTTATCTATTTTGATTGCTGAGTAATATTCCATGGTATATATGTACCACATCTTCTTGATCTGGTCATCTATTTTTTGGACGTTTGGGTTGTTTCCATATCTTACCTATTGTAAATAGCGTTGCAATGAACATAGGGGTGCAGATATCCTTTTGAATTAATGTTTTTGCATCCTTTGGGTCGATTCCTATGAGTGGAATTGCTGGGTTATATGGTGGCTCCATTTTTAATAGTTTGAAGAATCTCCACATAGTTTTCCATAGTGGTTGGACCAAAAACTGTCTCTATTTGCATATGACACGGTATTATATACCAAAACCCCAAAAGACTCCACCCAAACACTGTTAGAATTAATAAAAGAGTTCAGTAAAGTTGCAATCTACAAAATCAACATACAAAATCTGTTGTGTTTTTATACACTAATAACCAGCTAGCAAGTAAGAGAAATTAAGAAAAAAAAATCCCATTCACAATTGTATCAAAAAGAATAACATACCTAGGCATAACTTTAAGCAAGGAGGTGAAAGACCTATACACTGAAAATTATAAGATAATGAAAGAAATTGAAGAGGACACAAATAAATGGATAGATAATCTGTTTATGGATTGGAAAAAGTGATATTATTAGGATGTCCATATTACCTGAAAAATCTAGAGATTCAATACAATTCCCATCAAAATTGCAATGACATTATTTACAGAAACAGAACAAAAAATCCTACATTGTTTAAAGAATGAAAAAATGCCCCAAATACCCAAAGCAATCTTGGGAAAGAAGAACAAAGTTAGTGGCATTACATTCCATGACTTCAAGCTATAATTACAAAATGATAGCAATCAAAACATCATTTTGACATAGATACATAGATCAATGGAACAGTATAGAGAACCAAGAAATAAACTCTCAAATATATGGTCAATTGATTTATGACAAAGGAGCCAAGAATACACAATGGGGAAAGTATAGTCCCTTCAATAAATGACATTTAGAAAACAGAACAGCCACATGCAAAAGAATGAACCTGGATCACCATCTTATGCCAAACACAAAAACTAACTCAAAATGGATTAAAGGCTTGAACATAAGATTTGAAGCCATAAAACATATAGAAGAAACACAGGTGGTGATGTTCCCGATATTGGTCTTGGCAATGATTTTTTGGATTTGACACTAAAAGCAAAGGCAACACAAGCAAAAATAATAAGACCTGACCAAGCTAAAAAGCTTCTGCTCAGTCAAAGAAATAAAAAGACACCTTACTGAATGGAAGAAAATATTTGCAAATCATATATTTGACAAGGGGTTAATATTCAAAATATATAAAGAACTCATGCAACTCAATAACAATAAAACAACCCCTAAAAATGTGACGAGAGGCTTGGAATCGATAGTCTTCCAAAGAAGACATACACATGGCCAACAGGCACATTACAAACGTGCTTAATATCACTAATTTCAGATAAATTCAAGTAAAAAATCACAATGGAATATTACCTTTTACCTGTTAGAATGGCTAGTATAAAAAAAAGACAAGAAATAGCAAGTATTTGGCCAGGATGTGGAGAAAAGGGAACACTTGTGCATTCCTGGTCAGGATGTAAATTGGTGCAGCCGCCAGGGAAAACAGTATGGAGATTCCTCAAAAAGCTAATAGTATCACTACAATATGATCCAACTATTCTACCTCTGGGTATTTATCTGAAGAAACTAAAACCACTAACTCAAAAATATATATATACTCCCATGTTTATTGTAGAATTATTTATACATAATCCATTGATGTTCTTACCACAAGCGTCCATTGATGGATAAATGGATAAAGAAGTTATTAGACACACACACACACATACACACGTATTACACACGTATAATGGAATATTATTCAGGCATGAAAAAGAAGAAAATCCTGCCATTAGCAATAACATAGATTGACTTTGAGGATCTTATGATAAATGAAATAAGTCAGACAAAGATACCAAAATTAAAATCTATATGTGCAGCTTAGATACAGATTTTATGTAGATACCTTATACATAGAAATAACAATAAAAAAACCCCACAATAACACAACTTCAAACTAATACAGACTGGCGTTTGCCAGGGGCAGGGATTTGGGGGGAGGATAGATAAGTGAAATGGGTAAAGGTGGTCAAAGGTACACATATCCAGTTATAAAATAAATTAACATAGGAGATGTAATGTTAACAATGCTGTATTCTACAACTGAAAGTTTCTAAGAGAGCAAATCTTAAAAGTTCTTATCACACACCGACCAAAAGTGTGTAACAGTGTGTGAAAGAGGTTAACTAGACCTAATGTGGTAGGTTTATAATATATACAAATACCAAAACATTATGTTGTACATCTAAAATGAATATAATGTATGTCAATTGTATCTTGAAAAAATAATGTGAAAGATCAACATGTATATTCATACAATGGAATATTATTGAGCCATAAAAGGAGTGAAGTAATGACACACTGCAACCCGAATGAAAAGTGAAAATCTTATGCCGAATGAAAGAAGCCAGACACACAGAGGACACATGTGGTGCGACCTCATTTATAAAAAATGTCCAGAACAGGAACATCTATAGAGACAGAAAGATTACTGTGTGCCTCATCGAGCAGGAAAAGGGGGAGACTGCTAATGGGGACAGGTTTCTTTTAGGGTTATTAAAATGTTCTGGACATGCTGTAGCCTCTGCAGCACGAGTTCAATCCCTGGCCAGCCAGGGAGCAACCCACATGGTGTAGCAGACCTCTCCTGACTCGCCCGCTGCTCCCCTCAGCAGTGTACTTTAGTTAATCTGCCTGTTCTGTTCCCCACTCTCTCTGGCGACTCCGCTCACCCACACACACACCTCTGGCCTGTACCCCAGTTCTTGTATGCATAAATAAATAAATCTTTAAAAAATGTTCTGGACATGTGCTAGACGGTGGTGATGGTCATCGACTCTGTATATATGAAAAACCACTGAACTGTGTACTTCAAAAGAATGAATTTTATGGTATGTAATGATATCTCAATTAAGTTGTGATTACAAAATCAACAAACGTTAATTTTTCATTTGGAGTTAAGGAATGTTACATCATTTTATCAATGATAAAAGGATAAAAATGGAAAATGTGTTGTACTGTAGAATACTGTAGCCCCTATTGGGTGGGTAACCTTCCCAGAGGGACCAGAAGCAGCAGGAATCCTGAGCCCCCCATCTTGCTGCCCAGCACCTGGGAGACACCAGCCACCCCAGCACCACAAACCTGTGCTTCCCTGCCCACCCCCGAAGCATCCTCCCCTCCCCCCAACCTCCCCCATCTCCTGTCCTTCCTTCTCTGTGGCCTGTTGGGTCCTGACCCCAGAAATCATCTCTATGGGGGGACTGGCACCTGTGAGTGTCCAGTCACCTGGCCAGACTGGTGCACAGCCTGGACTGGGGGGGACTTTGGGGTCCTGAGCACCAGAGATACCAAGGTGACAGCTGGGGGTAGGAGCAGCACTGCCTCCAACTCTGTGGTCTTGAGCACAGGGTCTTTCATAGAGTGCAGCTCAGAAGCTAGCAGTATGATCTGTGTCATATACTAGCTACCTGCAATAAGGTGCAAGAAGCCCAAGAGAGGCCTTGTCTGTGGAGCCCAGAGGAAAACTGAGGGGGGAAGAAATAAGGGAAGGCTCCCAGGGGGAGCTGGCATTTGACTGTGGTGCTGGAAGAACCCCGAGCCAAGGGGTTCTTGGCAGCCTCTTCCCCCCATCTACCGGCATCACAGTTCTGTCTCAGCAGCATTGGGATGAAGGGCGGATACCTTCTGCCTCGCCCCTGTTTGCTCAGCTGTAAAATGGTGATGATTATGACAGTACTTGCCTTCCTGATAGAGAGGTCCTGATGGGCGCTGCCTGTGAAATGAGAGGAGGAAAGGACCCCCACCCTCCTCAAACCGGATCGGTCCCGAATTGGAGTCTGGGGAGGGGCTCTGGCTTCTTCATGAGGGGTGAGGTTACCCTTCACCGGCACAGGGCTCAGAGGTTTGGGGCGACTGCCGAGGCCAGGTGCGGCGGAGGGTGGGGGGTGTCTCAGGGACAAGAGGAGCCCCGTTACAGCATGGAGCAGGGAGCCTGGAGGGCCAGGGCCAGCCCAACCCGGAAGGGGGTCGGGGTGGGGGTCCGCGGACCTGGGGCAGTGGGCGGGACTCGGGCCCTCCTGCAGGTGTCTTCGAGCCGCAACCAGGTGGGCGTGCCAGGCTCCGCCCCGCGCGCCGAACGGGGGCGGGCGAGCGGAGGACCCGCCCTCCTTGCGCGCCGGGTCGGAGCCGGTGCCGGAGCAGAGCCGCGCGGAGACAGAGCGGCGCGAGCGGACGTTGCCCGCAGGGACGGCCCGAAGGAGCAGAGCCGCGACCCGGTTCCAAGAACCACCGGCCCCGGGCGCGGACCCTGGCCCCGAGAACGACCCGCCCAGCGCGAACCCCGGCCCGGAGAGTGACCCGGCCCGAGCGCGGACCCTGGCCCCGGAGAGCGGCCTCGCCCGCCTCGCCCGCCCCGGCTACTGGCCCTTGGGCATGGACGGCGCCCGCTCGCCCTGTGAGTGCAGAGACCCCCGCCCGCCGCCTTTGTGTGCGCGCCGCGCCGCCGCAGCCCCCTCGCCGCGCGCCCCTCCTGCGCCCCGGGCCGCGTCCTTTGTGGAGCCGCCGCCTGGCCGTTGCCTCCCGGTTCCCCGACCTCCCTATCCCCTCTGCAGCCTCTCTTGGGGACCCCAGGGACAGACCCCCAGGACAGCCGAACCCTCAGGACATCCCCGCAGGTCCCCTTCCCCGGGGCTTCCTCTGCAGCTTGCCCCGAGGTCCCCAGGGACGCTCCAGCAGGCCCCCTTCCTGGGGGCCCCAGGGACAGCCCAGCAGGCCCCCTCCGTGGCTGGAGCTTAGCAGGGCACGGCCCCTCAAACCCGGCCTCCTGGTCGGGTGTGCAGTCCCCTTGTAGGCCCCCTCCGCGGCTGGGGCTGGGCAGGGCGCGGGCCCCCGGGCGGCGCTGTCTCATCCCACGGCCGGGCAGGTGCGGCGGGCCGGCGCTCACGCGGGCCTGCGTGTCCTTGGCCCGCAGAGATGGACGGCGATGGCAGCCGCCGAGACGCCCCCGGCGCACTGATGGAGGCCGGGCGCGGCGCGGGGCCCGCGGGCATGGCGGAGTCGGCGGTCGTGCCGCGGACGCGGGCGGCGCGGCCCGGGCCCCAGCGCTTTCTGCGGCGCAGCGTGGTGGAGTCGGACCAGGAGGAGCCGCCCGGCCTGGAGGCAGCCGAGGCGCCTGGCGTGCAGCCCCCGCAGCCCCTCCAGCGCCGGGTGCTGCTGCTTTGCAAGACGCGCCGCCTCATAGCCGAGCGCGCTCGCGGCCGCCCCGCCGCCCCCGCGCCCGCCGCGCCTTCGGTGCCCGCCGCGCCGCCTGGCGCCCCTGCCAAACCCGGCCCGGAGCCCGCCGGCCCGCGGGAGCCGGGCCCCGATTCGACCGCTGTCCCGCCCGCGCCCGCCCCCGACGGCGGCCCCCGGGGGATGAGGAGGAGGCCGGGAGGAAAGAGGACGCCGGGGCCACTGAGGTGAAGCCGGAGCCGGGGCGCGCTCGCCGGGATGAGCCCGAGGTGGAGGAGGACGATGAGGACGACCTCAAGGCCGTGGCCACGTCTCTGGACGGCCGCTTCCTTAAGTTTGACATCGAGCTGGGCCGCGGCTCCTTCAAGACGGTCTACAAGGGGCTGGACACCGAGACCTGGGTGGAAGTGGCCTGGTGCGAGCTGCAGGTGAGGGGCGCGCTGCTGCAGGTGGGCTGTGGGCGCGGGCTCCATGCTTGGGGCCAGCCGGGTCTGCGGGTGTGTCACCCTCGGTGTGGGTGATGCTGTGTCAGGATGGACCGCGGAGGTCGGACCTCCTGGTATGCAGTGGCGCCCGCGCTGGAGAGGGGGCACTCCTGGGGCCTTTCTGTTCTCCTGCTCCTTCTTGATTCTTTAATTCAAGCTGTTCTGACTCAGGCTGTCTGGATGGTTGTATCTTTGCAGAAGTAGCCTGAAAGCTGCAGGGCCTTGTGTCCAGGTGTTGACAGGGCACCTTGGGGCCTCTGAGCTGCTCTTTAAGTCAGTAGCTTTCCCTGTCTTGTAAGGTGCAGGCACCCCAGCCAGGGTGTCTGAGGGGTGGCTTCTGCCCTGACTGGTTAAGGGCATACTCTGGTATGCCCTGGTCCAGCAGGGTGAGGCCTGGAAATACTTAGTGGCCTTAGAGCTCTAAGTCCCTGTTCCTTCACAAAATGGATGCATGAGTGATCTTATAACAAGGCTTGCAAAACATGGGTGGGTTTTTTGTTTTGTTTTTTGATACAAAGGCTTTGGGCATGTATTTTTCATAACCTGGCGCTCACGTTGGCTGTGTCAGCCCTGGCCCTGGAGATTATATAAATGGTAACCTGAGCTTCTCTGGGCCAGCCTTGGAAGCTGGGGCAGTGCCTGTCAGAGCGGGTGTTTATGGGCCCTCCCTCATTTTGGGGTGGGGGCAGCTGTTGGGCATGGGGCTGGTCAGTGTGAGCTCTGGCTGTGTGGGTGTAAGCCTACCCCGGTGCCCTGTAAAGTTAGCTGGCCCTTCCAGGCCTGATGCAGGCCTCCTGCCACACCGCCTGCCACACCGCAGGACGCCTGCCGCTTTGGCTCAGAAACAGATTTGGTTGCTCTGCCCTCTGGGCCCCTGCAGAATGGCCTGTGTGTGGGTGTGCAAGCTAGGCTGATTTGGTGGGTGTCTACCTGTCTTTGACCTTTCTCCCAAGACAGAACTCAAGGCCACCCCTTTCTATGGCCCCTTGGTTCTGCCATGGAAATGTGAGCTTTCTGTGATATGCTGATGGCATCCTGTGCAGTCTTCAGAAGGTACTGAGAGCTCCCCTCCTTCTGCTGACTGCAGATTCTGAGCCTGCTGAGAGGTGCAGGACAGGGATAGGGATTTGGGCTGTGGTCTGGGCACCCTGGGGTGTGCTGGGGCATCCCTGCTGCTTGATACCCAAAGGTAAGTAGTAAGGAGAGTAGTAAGAGAGGGCAAAGTGGGTTGGGGGGTGTTTGCTGCCTCCTGATTCTGGAGAGGCCGAGTGCTTCCTGGCTATGTGAGGTGGCAGATGAGTGGGGACCTGGGTGCTATAGCAGGCGAGATCCAAGTGAGACCTCACAGCAGAGCTAAGCTGATCTGGTTAAGGCATTGCAGCACATGTGACCCTCGGGACAGGCTGTTCATTTCCAGTCCCTTTAAGGAAGGGCAAGCTGTTCTGTCTCTGGTACCCCCAGCCGAATAGCCCAGGGATGGAACCTGGCTATTGTTCAGGGGTCTGGACTCCAGCAGGAGTGAGGAGGCTGGAGGTGGCTTCTTGTCTGTCTGCTGGGGGCCCCAGACATCCAGGGAAACATCCCTATAGCTCCCCCAACAAGAGGGCACTTTTAATGTTTGCCTTAGGTTGATTTGTAGACTTTGGGGTCACTACCTCCTGTTTGATTGAGAGTGTTTTACACCAGAGCAGCCCAAAATAGCCCCCTTTGCCAAGAACTAGCCTCCATGTCTGGCCTCTTCACTAACTATGAGCTATTACCCTGTTTTATTTTTGAGGACCCCCCCAAGGTCACCAGCAAGGACATAACCAGCACAGGGGGGACTGCAGCATCATGGGAGTGGGCGACCAGTCTGGTGTGGCCATCCTTGAGTATGGAGGGCAATAGGTTGCATGTTGGCTTTGTGCCTGGCGAGGGGGTTCACAGTGTAGAAATGTCCATCCTCCACTAGCCCCCAGATTCCCGAGTGTTAGGGTTTCTGGTGGAGGGCTGAGTGCTGGGAGCTTTGTAGGATTCCTTTTGATCTTTGTTTTCCTCTTCCCTAGCACCCCAAAATGCATTGGTAGAAAACTTTGGAATGCCCCCAAAATAACTAACCCGCCACAGTCTGCCCCCTTCTCCTGCCCTTGAAATTCTGGGGGGCTCTGCACCTGCCTACCACCCACTTCCTTTATCCCGGGTTCCCTGCTATGGGAGGAAAAGCCCATTTCTGGACTTACTAAGTTTGGCTTAGGGGATGTAGAATCCCTGTGACTTTCAATTTCCTTTGATAAATTAGTGTTGAAAGGGCTTTGTGGAGAGCAGTATGTGTTTGTCTCACATCAGAGGGCAGCAAGATGGTTCACCTCCTGAATTCTCCAGATGTCCAAAGCTGACACTGACTTTTTTGGGGGGAAAGCCATTTTAAAGTATTACCTCTGTGACTTTTTCACTTTTGAGTGTACTTTTATTCCTGATGCCAAAATATATTACAATAGCAATGAAATAAGTGGAAACATACCTGCAGCTCTCTTGGCTCCTGTCCCTAGCAACGTGGGTCATTTTTGGCTCTCTCTGGGCCTGCCCATACCCCCATTCTTTCAGACAATGTTTGGGGAGCTGGAGGCTCCTCACTGGCTCTGGTCTGCCCTAGGAGCAGGTCTGGACCACTGACGCTGTCCCAGGCAGCTCAGGGCACCCTCTTGTACCTGCTGCCTCCTCTGAGCCAGTGTATGTCCTTGAGTAGAGAAAATGCAGCCAACCCGGACCCCAGCCTGCTGGCATTTCCTGGACTACCTGTTTCTCTTGCATTTTCCTCAGAAGCTTGAAGAAAGCCATTGTTTTCAGCCCTCTCTACTGATGCCACCCCCTCCCTTTAGCAAGCCCTGCCTTTAGAGGAGATGGGCACTCAGATCCTCTATGCCACTCCCTCCCCTTCATAAGGTGGTTGTGAGCTGCCGTGGCAGGCTGGGTACTATCTCCAGGGATCCTGCTTGGAACCCATGTTCCTTGCTGGTGTCTGGACATTGGAGTTGGTCTGACTCACAGAGGTGTCACTCCTTGACCTGCCACCCAAGCATGAGTCCTGAAGAGGTATCATGAGAACTGAAGCCCCAACAGGTGGTGAAAAGTGCTAGATTACCCTGGTGCCGTCATGAAGTCATCCTGCTGCTTCTATGTGCTGCCCAGGGGTGGCTGGGCTTGCATGGGTGCTAATGGCCTGGGCACAAGACTGGGAAATGACTTGCACAGACCCTAGGACTCCAGTGATTATATGGCTGTTGGTGTCCCCTTCATGCAGCCACAGAGGAATTGTGTGTTTCCAACTTAACCACCCCAGCCAGATGTTTGTGTCCTGTTTACCTGCCTATGCTCTGGGAGCAAATGATGCTGGTGGGTGGCTATGCTGAGCACACTGGTCCCCTCACTGTCCACAGAGGATGGTGGATCTGCCTGTCATCACTGTGGCCAGCCAGCCTGTCCTATGGCAGCCATGTGCTCATGTACCTGAGTGCTGAGCTCACATATCTGACCATGCAGCTGGAACATTGTCTCTCATAGATGGGCCAGGCACATGCCCTGTGTTCTGGGCAGTCTTGGGCAGGCCTAGGTTTGAGAGGTCCTTGTGGCTTCATGCAAAAGGCTTGGCCACCAGCCTGGTGTCCTTTCAGAGGAGCCCTGTGCAGCCTGCCCAACTGATTTGGGAGAGGAGGGGGTCAGCAAGGGATGGCTCGCTCACCAGAGCAGGGTGAACTCAGCTTGGCTGCTGTCCTGCTTTTTTATTTTTATAGTTGTAATTTCCTAAGAGCTCTTGTTGGGAGAGCTGTCACTTGAAATCATTTGGATGCCAGCACTGAGCCTGTTCTCTAGAATGAGATGGCTCATGCGCCACAATGACCATGGCCTTGGATGGTTGGCAAGAGAGGTTGGCGCCAGCTGCACTGGAGGCCTGAGAGGACTGCTTCCCTGCCAAGGCAGAAATGTGGGCACCCAGAACCTAGAGCCCCTCCTCTGCCCTGTGTGGTGTTGGGTAGTGAGGTCAGTGATGACGGACAGGCATCCCGAGTGAGCGAGCTGAGGGTCATGGTCATGGGGCGTGCGGGCATGCCAGGCTGTTCTCTGTTGGAAGCAGGCGCTGCTGTGGCAGGGTGTTTGCCTTTCCAGGTGTTGTCAAGAAGACCTGGTGTGAGGAGATGCCTCCTTCTGGCCTGAATCACTGTGTGACTTGGGCCCCAGAGCAAGGACCCCAAACTGTCTCACTTGGGTGAAGAGCTAACGGGTCTCTCCCTCCATTCCTGCCATTTCCTGCTAGGTGGCAGCTGAGAGCTTACTCTGAGGTGGGTGCAACTTTGCTGGTGGACTATTAGCCAGGACTGTGTGGTAGCCAAAAAAAAAAAAAAAAAAAAGAATCACTAAGAAGAAGGTAGGGATCGAATGTCCCAGAGTTTCCTGATGCTGGTCCCATGTGAGGGACTCAACATGATGGGTTGGTGTGGTTCATCAGCTCAACCAGCATTTGTTGATCATGTTCCCTGGTTTCCTTGTCCCACAGTGGGCAAGCCGGAATAGCACCCTGGGAGACAGGGAACAGGAGACCAGAGAACACATGGAGCATACTGGTGGTAAGATAGGGAGGGACATCCAACGTGAGAAGCCTGTAGGCAGGTGTGGAGAGAGGCTGTCTTGTTGCGGCCGTGGGTCGACCAGTCTCGCCCGTCCTTCCACACACCTTGCAGAGCTGCTGGACTCGTGCCCCTTCAGCAGGACTGCAGGTGTCTCTTGGAGTCTGTGGGTTGGACTGACTTCCGACTGGAATTGGACACCTGTGGTGATGACATGAAGCTCCAGGCGACTGCTTTGAAGGAGGAGAGCTTGACCCAGTCCAGTGGTGGTTTTGAGGAGCAGGGGGTTCTCCCTTGTGTCTTGCTAAGATGGGTGTGGCATCAGCCCATAGTGATGTGGAG